TCAGATCTATGTCTCACTGACTGCAGGAGAACATGGACCAGTGGACTCACTCCTTCACTGTATCCAACAGATCAGTGAGTGGATGCAAAACAACTTCCTTCAGCTAAACGCAGACAAAACTGAAATGATTGTCTTTGGTCCCCAGAAACAAAGAGAGAGCGTCATCTGTCACCTACAGTCTCTCTCCCTAAAACCTTCAAACAAGGTCAGAAATCTAGGGGTAATACTGGACTCAGACTTAAATTTTAATAGCCACATCAAATCAGTAACATCAGCAGCTTTTTACCATCTAAAAAACATTGCCAGGATCAAAAACATAGTGTCTAAAGCAGACTTGGAGATTCTTATCCATGCATTTGTCTCCAGTAGGTTGGACTACTGCAATGGCCTGCTTACTGGTCTGTCCAAACAGGCTGTAAAACAGCTGCAGTACATTCAAAATGCAGCAGCTCGAGTCCTGACTAGAACCAGGAAGTACGACCACATTAGTCCGGTCCTCAGGTCCCTGCACTGGCTTCCTGTGGCTCAGAGAATAGACTTTAAAACAGCTCTGCTTGTGTACAAATCTCTCCATGGCCTCGCACCAAACTATATTAGTGACATGTTAGTACCATATGAACCAGCCTGGACTCTGAGGAGCACAGGGACTGGACTCCTGTTAGTGCCCAGAGTCAGAACTAAACATGGGGAGGCTGCTTTTCAGATTCATGCTGCTAAAATCTGGAACAGTCTTCCTGAAGATGTGAGACAGGCCTCCTCTCTGACAATGTTTAAGACAAGGTTGAAAACAGTTCTGTTTAGCTGTGCATACAACTGAGGGATTTTATATTTTTATCTTTTTTTTAATGTACTGTGATTATTTATGATTTTAATGCTTTCTTGTTCTGTTCAGCACTTTGAATTGCCTTGTGTATGAATTGTGCTATATAAATAAACTTGCCTTGCCTACGCATGGTGCGGTTGTTTTTTTTCATTCCCAGAAAGTTTTGCGGTTTGTAGTCGGCTGTGATAGGTCGAGAAGTCTCTGCCTACATCCCCCAGAATGCCGCGCGCTTCTGACTCGGCTTCACTCCCTGTGTTTCGTTCCAGTTTTTTCGAACGAAGTGAAGTTAAACTATCGAAAGTTCTATCGACCCCGTTTTCTATTGATATCGAACACGTGTCTATCGCGATATATATCGTTATCGTTTTATTGCCCAGCCCTATTCTGTATTTATATATATTGTCATTTACAATTTTTTTAAGAGCCTACATGTGCAAAGTCTTTGTTGTGTATGGTTGATTTAACATCAGAGGTCATTAGAATTGTCTGTTCAAAATATACAGTAAATAAAAATAGATTTAATTGTATAGCACAATTCATACATAAGGCAACTCAAAGTGCAAAAAAATCATAAATAATCACAGTACAATAAAAACAAAATATAAAATCCCTCAGTTGTATGCACAGCTAAACAGAACTGTTTTTAACCTGGTTTTAAACTTTGTCAGAGAAGAAGCCTGTCTCACATTTTTAGGAAGATTGTTCGAGATTTTAGCTGCATGAATCTGAAATGCAGCCTCCCCATGTTTAGTTCTGCATACGTATGCCTACAAGGAATTTACAGGAACTGGAGATTTTTTTGCCATAAAAAATGGGCAGCTTTGCCATCAGAGAGGAGAAAGAAAGTTTATTTGACAATATTATTTCACACAACCACTAACAATGCCTGAAGAAAGTTTTGATGTTATAATTATATCTAAATTTCTGGGTGTTTTAACCTTCTTGGTGTGGCTCCAGTGATTTAAGGCAGTGGTTTGAACGTGAAGAGGGTTCAAACACAGGGCAGTGTCCTTGCTGACTTGATGATCCTGAAACTTTGTTTGTCTGCCGCGCACACAATTACACGACTGATGATAACGTGCGGCTCACAAACTTGAAATGAGACTTCTTTGTCTGATATGAAGATAAAATGTCGAGGGCTTTTGCTGCTGATTCAGAGGTTAATAGAGAGGTCGTCTGCTCAGTGGATTAGTCACCATAGCCGGTGCTTTCCTGCCTGCGCTTCTCTCCATTATCTAATCTCAGGTTACCCACTAATTCTATTGAAAAATCAGGCTCCTTGACCCTGTTTTCAGCACACAATGTAAAAGACTGAGTGGAGGAATGTGAAAGCCAGTAAGAAAGGGTAATTTCACTCAATTTTATGAAAAGTACAGCTAATATTTAGACCATACACTTTCATTTAGTAAAGTATGTCTTTATCATGCTGCTCAATGCATTTTTCCTCAACTTGGTTTGGCCGCCAGGAAATCCGGGACACTTGAACTTCTTCCAGGTCCATTTAACTGCTGTAAATGTTTAAAGTTTGAGGAAATAGCCGCCATTTGGTTCCGGTGCAGATCCGACATGGTCTCATGACTTGCACCACAACTGCACGATTTGCTCTGCCAGCAGGGGTATTTGCAGCAGCTCAGGGCCAGATCATAGATATAGTACATTATCTGGGTAGGGTATTGCTAGCTTAAGCCAGTCTTCACTTCCACTATGGTTTCGGCCCCTGTGTTGCGAGCCAATGAGCACAGACCATTGATTTAAATGGAACGCTGGGGCTTGGCTCCACTCCGTTAGTGGAAGTTCATAACTTTATATGGGAAGAATAGACCTCCATTGATATACTGTTTATGGCACTAACCACCAAAATGTAAAATAGGCAAACATTTTCAACATATTCCAAATTGATGTTTCAAAACAAATAATAGGGGAATGGATGCTTCCTATTTTACTTTCATACTTCTTTTCATCTCTTGTTGTGTTATTGCTGTTATTCTTTAGCAGGGCCTACATGAAAATACTGCTGTTCATTTTAAAGTTTCACAAATTCATCAAGTTGCAATATATTGGCATTATACAGTTGCATAATCTGTTTACAGTGTCCTTGTTAACAACCACCATAAGTTACTGTACACGCTGCGATGTCGCAAGTGCCGAAAGAAAACACAACACCTCCGGCTTTCACCTCCGATCTCGCCGTCACCACAAGTTTGTTAGAATGATCTCAAGAGCCGCACAGATAGCAGCTTGTGTGCCACTGCTTGTATGTGGCGTGTCCAATGAAAAACTCTTTGTACCGTACGTCCTAATGACTGTTTAAAAAGTACATGCAAATAAATGACACCAATGTTAATGTGCAGTGGGATCAAGGTCGGTCCTGTTCGGCTGCCTAGAAAACAGCTACCAGCCGTTCATGCAACATTAGTCCCTTTTCAGCTTGTGGACATTACTAACAACAAGGCCCTTTACAAGTGGTGCAAGGGTAGAAAATCGACACACTCTGAAGAATACATGAAGGACTTCTGTGTTTATCTGAGCAGATTCTTTATTACATCCTAAATGTAATGTGGTTTAATACAGTTGGTTACTACAAGCTTTTTAAACAAGAGCAATTTCTGTAACGCTCTTTTCTGTAAATAACTTCAGTATTAAAGGTCTGCTCTGTGACCGTTCTGCTGCGGACTATACCTACATGTTGGAGTCGTAATGTTTTGCTCTGAATGTACTGTATCATGCAACTTTTGCGTTATTTAACTACAGATATCTTTACCGTATTTTGATATGAAGTTAGCATGATCATGTCAGCAAAATTTAGATGAACACAAACAAGTGGCAGACACTCCGCCATAGACGTTGACTTTTGATATTATGAATAGATTAGATTTAGACTGTATAAAAATCAAATCAGATCAATTATCAATCACGGGCACAAACTTTTTATGGTGGTGACACACATCAACAATTAGACAGATGTGACTGGTGTTGAATATGTCTTCATTATTAGGTTTCAAATCGGCTGGTTTTTTTTTAGCTCCAAATTTCTTGCCTTCATTGCCCTTGTCGATGTTAGACTGCTCTTATTCATAATCTCTCAGTGGCTGTATGTAGGTCAGTGGAGAAGGGGTCAGGAGAGCAGGAGGATCAATACACACTCAAAAACAACAAGTAGAAACGGGCCATACAAGTCCAGGTTATAGTCTCCTAGCGCATGGTCTCTTTATTTTTATTGATATGTTGCGTTATGATTAAAGTAGTGCATTGCTACATGCTAAGTAACTAAGGAAAGAATATTACTTCGTGCAATCAAGTGAGTTTGAGTAGTTCCATTCTAATGTCACATTGGCTTTGCCCCCAGGCCATACAATCACTGACCTTGAATATTCTGAACCAGAGGAGAGTTCAGTCTGACCAACATCCCGTAATTGCATCCTCGCCTGTAGAGCTGTGCGCCAACGTAGGTATTTTTTAAATTGTAGTAGAGTTTGGCTGTTGTTAGAGCAGAGGTTATGGGCTAAGTTTCAGCTATAGAACGCTTGTTTATTGTCAAAATAGATTGGTGGACTCCCGGAATGTCCCAACTCGTCATTAAATCACGGTGTGACCAGTTAAACAGTTGTCTATCTACTTTTTCTTTTAGTTTTACATTTTAACATGAAACACTTTGGCATATATTCAAGTGCAGCCTGTATTTGGACAAAATGAACTTTCTGTCAGTGTTGCTGGTGCGGTTTACTTACAGGTGCGCTTAGTAGAACAGCAAGTACTATAGTCATTGCAATATTTGGCTAAGCATTTTCTTTATCATTGCAGTATTCTGCTTCGTATTCTGCTGTGATAACAGCATAGCAGCATTCTTCTATGATAACGGAGTGACGGCATTCATTTCGTGATTTTCCGTCAATTTAGACGTAACTTGATTTAGTATTTCAGCCCGAAGCACCAAACCAGCTAATTAGTGCTTGTGTGACCAGCTCAGAGCAGCAGTGGTCTCATAATTATTGCCCCGGGAAAACCCCAGGCGTCATGTGCCCCGTTCAGCCCAGTCACTGTGACTGTGTAAATGGATTCAACTTCTACTGTTGTTTCTTTTCAATATGCAGATCTTGTTCCCCTTTAGCTATTTCAGCTCATGGTTTTAGCTTGTATAATAATAAATGTTAACTTTGTGTCTTTGTTTGGTTGCAGCATGTGGAAGGGCCTGAATGTCAACTGCACAGACTCCTCAGGCTACACTCCCCTGCATCACGCCTCGCTCAATGGACACAGGTGAGAACCTTTACTGCTCATGTATGTGTCTCAAAGCCACTGTAAGAAATGTTCACAAAACGTTTATTTGTACATATACAATGCATAAGTGCTTTATAGAACAAGATAGGCTGCATAAAAAGATAAATAACACAGGAAGAATTCCGTAATTTCTTTACGCTCCCATCCGCTCCCATCTCTGTGTGCAGTGAGAGGACAAGTGTCCAAAAATAATAACAATTGTAAACCGCTTTGTGACTCTGGTCTGTGAAAGGCGGTATATAAATAAAGATTACTTACTTACTTACTTTTAATGAGAAGAGTGCAGGTACAATATTTTTTTTCGTGTTCTCTAGCTGGGATACCTTCCTTTCCTCATAAATAATACATTTTGTTTATCCAAACAGAAAGATTAAATGTTGTGAACGATCATGCTGTATGCTGTCTTTATCTTTGTAAGAAAGAGCCCTGTGCGTCACTGTTTGACTCTCGGGGCTGAGTGAGGGTGATCCTCTTTCAGCAGTTTCACTCTGACGGGCAGAGTGTTGTCTTCAGAATGAGCATCACAGATTGGCACATCAGAACGACTCGGGAACCCTCATTGAAGGGGTGGGAAGTGGGAATTTTAATTAAAGACATAACTGTTTTATAGCCTGCTGCTTTCATGTGGGTCAAGTGAAGCATGTTATAGAACTACACATGACGGGGCAATACTTTGTAGAGAGTGTAACAAGCCGTGTTACAAGTGTGAAACTCGTCAAAGTTGCCATATGTTTGAAAATGTTTAAAAATGTTTACATTGCACGACATGGATGATAATTGTCGTAGTCCATTATAATGGTATTCTCTCTGATCCGGGGTCAAATGGTGACTTTAGAAGACTTAATGGTGCAGGTGTGAAAGCACCCTGAGTTCAAAGTGTGTTGTGGTGAAAAGCTGACACGGGTCCAACTAACTTGGAAAGCACAAGTCCTGTGTCGACATGTTGATACATGGTCATGTATAATAACAGTTTTTATAAATTACATTTACCACTACTATACTCATATTAGTAAGTGTAACATAAGTAATTATAATATTTAAAAATCAACCAGGTTATCATTAGCCATACAAAATATTATACTGATAATGAACAGATAAATAAACAAATGAAGTAGCCAACAAAACTCAACAAAATTTCCCATGTTTTTTTGTTCTTAGTCTTTTGCCATGACTATAGTTGTTTGACTGATGCTGGATATAAACTCTAAATGATAATTGATTTGTTACACGAGTACTCGGAGAGGCAGTAAGTATAACCTTGGTGTATGTCACATTGTATATTGTTCCATGAACACAATTTTCTAGCTGTGTTTGAGACAAGGAAATTGTTTCTCACTGGAGTGGAAAGTGTATGCCATGATATAGATCACAGTCTTATCATTAGTCCTGCTGCTGTCTTGCCTTTATCTGTTGATTTATTGATCTCTGTGACTCAGGGAGGTGGTGCTGAGGCTGCTGCAGTTTGAGGCCTCCACAAACCTGGCCGACAGTAAGGGTTGTTTCCCCTTGCACCTCGCCGCCTGGAGAGGGGACGTGGACATTGTGCGCATCCTTATCCACCACGGCCCGTCCCACTGCAGAGTCAACCAACAGGTAACTGCAGCCGCCAACTCATTATTATTATTATTATTATTATTATTATTATTATTATTATTATTACTTGAATGCACTGCAAATAGGTAATACATCTTGTTTTCTCTGTGACAAGACTTACATTTCCTCATCTGTCTTGTTATGTAATTTATGGTTTTAACTTTCCATGCAACACTTTCAGAGAGTGATGCATTGATTGATACGTATATACTGATACTGTAGATAAATCTTTATATGTTAATTACTCAGAGGTAGAAGCCACAACTCCTGAGTGAATTTCTATTTTTCTACTGGCGACTGGCAGGTACCGGTACTATTACATTTTCATGTTTGTCAGAATTGTCTGGTTGTACATGTTTTCTAAAATGTCTTTTTGAACGTGGTTGTACAAACACAGTTAGAGAAACTGCTCAGAGCTTCACCTCGTCTGGAAAGTGAAAGCTCCATAGGCGGCGTCATTAAGGCAGCTGTTAGACAGAAGTTTGAGCCTCAGCTCTAGGAGCATTCAAGAGGCTCTGCTGCTGTCATTCCTAATCATCAGAAATGACCTTTCCTCCATCCTCATTGAGGCTGTGAGCTGTGTGCTTACAGCTTAATGATTATGTCATATTCTGATGTCTAATTTTAATAACGGTCTACTCTTGATCGAGAGACATTGTAACCCTCATGCTACCAGAACATACCATGCCCAAAAAGCATTCTGTTCAATATCAGTCTAATTGTTTTCTTGCTTGAGTGGGTAAACCCTAATTGTTTGTTGTGATAAATAGCAGCAGCTTTCCTGGAGCAAAGAGGTTTGTCAGCAGGAGAACCAGGCCATTTCTCTTTTCTTTTTAAGCTGTCAATGGCTCTGGAGAGGCTGAACAGGCAGCATCAGCCCTCGAAATGTACTGTGGAGAAGAAAGTGTAAGCAGATTGGAAGATGTATGGCTTTCCAAAAACAAGGATTTATTATGTCAATCAAATTTCTATCGAAATATTGTGCTGTTAGTAGAGTAAACGATTATTAACAGTGAGCAATCTTATTTTAAAGGATTTGTGACACCTATGGCCTTAATACAGTTATCTGACCCTGCACTGCTGCTTTTACCTTGTACACTTTTTCTGATTTTATTACCATCTTAAACTATGGCATTTTAAATTTATTTTATATTTTCAAATACCCATTGTCCATATCAGTGTCCCCTTGTGCTAAACTGCAGGTATAAATCTTTAGGTAAAATTTATGAAGCGTTTGTTGTATTTATGGCACATGGGCTCAATATTTTCCCACCCTCTGCCCTGTGTGCTGTTAAGAGCACGACCTGCATAAATTACATTCCATGATATACTGCGACTGCCTCTTCTCTCACACATAGGGCCCACCAATCATAGCTCACTCCGATAAAAAGATCTACCCATGGGTCAGTGGTTCACTACAACATAACGTTTTGTCACACCCTCTTCTTTGTAGTCAGGCATTATTCTCAAAATACTACAAAAATCACCTCTAGGTCAAATGTTATAGTATTTATGACTATTATATAACTATACAAGCCCTGTATAAGCCTTTTCTCGTACATAATAACCATGACAAAAGAAGAATAACTCGGCCACTTGTCAACTGCATTCAACACAGGATTACTGGGACACGTGGACTCCGTGTTTGCTGCCTAATTGGTCCCAGTAGTGTTTATTCACAGCTGCTTTTGTTTATTACCAGAACAGAGTGTTTAAGAGCGAAGAGAAGGACCATAAAGTGTGGGAGGCTGAGACTGGCCAATGGATTGTGATGGATTGCAGATCACAAAGAGCTTGCACTATAAAACTACAAGGCCAAATGCGAGCTTTAACTTCCATGCTGTGGGGTATGCACCAAATAAGGAACCCGACTCGACTTGGTTTCAACTTGACTCATGGGCACTACTCATCTTCTGAACAACACTGTAAGTCTGTCTGCACGGCTCTACAAGTGGATTGAGGATTTATTGAGCACTAAGTTTTATGTATTTTTTTATTTTAGGAAACTTTAATTTTGATTATGTAACTTTATTCTCTCTAAATACATCATCATCTGACATCGGAGCATTGGAGCGATAAGAGGGCAGAAGAACGTGTACAACTCAAAGGGAAAAATTATTAAATAAGCTTACGTCACAGTATAAACATGGATATTTTCCCCCCACTTAATCATAACATAGAAATAAAAAAGGAAAAGGTGAAACAAAAGCTTAATTGTGCTGCAGTACATGGAGCTTTTAGATACGCATTACCCCCGAAGGCATCTTTTTACAAACGGCCGACCCGCACTTGAAACTAGACCCTTTCAAGGACCATCTCTGTGTGTGTACAAACAGCCAAACTCTCCAGATTTAATGCATGTTTGTAAAGGGTTGTTGATTTACTGATCCAACTACTGTGACATCCTCATCCTGCGACTATATCGCTTTGTCTGCAGCCGATCAAACCCAATATCGTCTCCTTTTTCAAGTCTGCTCACTTCTTAAACCTGACTGAAGTGTAGCTCTACATGACGTGAGTGATGGTAAAGGACTGAGCAGTTTAATTGTGCTGATGACAGACTGACGGCTGCTGATTTCAAAGACAAGTCTCTCTTCCTGAGCTATAAGGACACTTAGAGCAGGCAGGGCTGTTAATGAAAAGAGTAACGAGATACTGTAAACAGCATGAAGACATCAGGATCAGCACTTTCTTATTATGAAGATGATGCTGAGTCAAGACGTTTCCCCCACAGTTATACCATAACCTGCCACCTGCTCCACTCCGACCATTACTCCCACACTTATTATATATTGGTGAGTCTCTAGAGGCCAGTAACCTTATGTCTAATGCCGTTTACACGTTATAAAATCCAAACGAAGCGCTCAGATCTTGGCACAGAATCATAATCCTTGTCTGCTCAAGGTGAAAAACACTGTCTCACATTTTTTATTGAACTTAAGGCTGCACTTTCAGGGAGACAGTCACATTGTTTTAATTATACTGCAAAGCATCCATCAAAGGAGTTTTTCTAACAAGCTCACGCATAAGAGATAAGATCAAGACAGATCAAGATCAAGATATCTTTATGGAAATAATCTGTGTGCTGGTCTTGGATAAATCGAAAGGGATAATAATAATGCATTTGTTTTTTATACCACTTTATTGGACACTCAAAGAAGCGTCATACAGCAGCACCAATCATTCACTCATACACCAGACTCATACTAGGCAATGTGGTTAAATGTCTTACATAAGGACACAGGAACAGGTTGGCACTTTACTGACCCAGCGGTGCTATTGTGACAGGTCTCCCATCACAGTGCTAAACAAGCCCTGACCTGCTTAGTTATGCCGTGATCTGGCTTTCACATGCAAGTGGCGCCACAACCCTATACATCTTAAAACATATGCATTCAAAGTGAATTTCAACCTTATTTATTTTCACATGATAATGGAACGCACAAAGTTGTATATTTTCCGCTTACTTGACAATATTTGACAGTTTAAGCATAATTGAATAACTATCTAGTTTACTCTTCCCACTGTGATAAGGTGATAAAAGCACACTGTTACTCTAATTTAAATAGATTGATTTTGTTTAACAGCCTGTTAAACAACATCCTTCAGTGGAAAAGTACCTTCGGGCTGTGCGACCATACAGTTATGTGGTTCTGATGGTTGTGGTTCAAAATGAAAGCCATATGTTTCAGGATAGTCAACAGAACCTGACAGCTCAGAGGAGAATCCGTGGGAAACGTCAGGCTCGATTAATTGATTCTGTCAAAACATAATGAGCCATACGCTGTTTTCTTATGAGTAATTTGTTGTCTCCGTGTACAGTATGTTGCACTAATTATTTTTGAAGTGACTGATCACGCTTAAAACCAAAACAAACTCCAGTGTTGCGGAGGGTAAACTGTGTGAAAAGTCTCTGTCTGAGGCGTTACAGCACTTCTTGTTATTTTGTTGCGTAATAACAACCATAGATCAACATTGTGCCAAAGAAAACCATTCCTGGAGGTGAAGCAGTAAATGTTTTCTGGCTCACACATTGGGCAGGTCAAAAGCAGATCACTTTAATAGCTCCCATGGTACAGTTCTGTCAAATAAATGGTTGTTGCTATTTCCCAAGTGTTATATTTAAACTCTTTGGATGGTTTTAGTGTGAGTAAGATGTGTGGAGACTGGAGAGTAGACAGTCTCTGTTTTCAAGCATTACATTCTCACTTTGCTGCCCCTGAATACATACACCATCCAGAGATACCTCCAACTTCTGAAATCAACAATTCTATTCAACTATTAAAACTAAAGAATAGGATTTTTTTTATTTTACTTCAAAATATGCTAGGTCACTGGATGAACTAGAAAGATCAAATGCCCTCTGATATTATTGTCATGGTCTGGTCTTTTATTTGAAATTTGATTTATTTTGTTAGCTTATCTGTTGATTTGCCTTTTTGAGTTCTCGCCCCTGTTCCATTGTTTGCCCCACTCTAATGTGATTCACCTGTGTCTCCCTGTGTATTCATACCCTGTCTCCCCACTTGTCTGTCCATTGTCCATCTCACGTTTGTTCTGTTTTATTGTTTATTACGCTGGATTATTTTCAGTCTTGCATTTTGGGTTCATTTTTCACCACATGCCAATTATATCTTAAGTTCCTCATTGAATCAACCCGCTTCAACCAAAGTGTATGTATTTGTCGTGACCACTTGAAGCCAACTGGACAAATCACCTTAAACAATACATATACAAAATGCATAAATTCAAATTATCTGATGCAGTTAATCTCAGGTACTTTTAATTTGTCTTTATAGAGTTAATCGCAACTAATAGATTATTGAACAACTCATTTAGTAATTGAATAATTGTTTTTTCAATTCTGTCTAGACTTAAACGTGACGAATAGGTTTTATGACTCAAATGATTCTCTAATGACTACAGAATGAAATTAAAACGTTAATCAATCAACCCAAGAAGATCTTCCCAAGGGCCATAACTCCAGCTTTGTTGTGGTCAAATGTGTACGTAATAATAATAATTTAATCAAATCGAAAGAATAATCAGCCATTTCAAAATAATCGTTCATTACAGCCCTAATAGAATTTGTTCGTTTATATCTTGGAGAATTAAATGGTGCCAATCCGATGTCCAAGTACTCTTTTCACCCCGGATAAGTCGTGGCTCAAAGTTAATAAATCCCAAATCGTTTGCGTTGTGAGAGAAACTTGAGCCTCTCTCCACCACTTTGAGAGCCATGATATATGACTCAATCAAAGAGTTCTGGCTTTTATGTCCAGCCATGGAGTAATGTTTTTCCTTAGGGTCCTCCAAGGTCTGTGTACGGATAGCACACTTGTGCTCTGTGAGGCGCACTTTGATTTTACATTTAAAAGCATGTGGCAGGCTACACTTGTTTCTTGCACTAGTAAACTGCGTGTACATATACTGATGATAGATCGATCATATAGTGTGCGTACATTGGCTTGATTTGTGTTTCAGTGCCTCCTCTTTGCTCTAACCAGTCCTGAGCCAATGTTGCTGGGACCATGAGCTGCTGATGTGAAGCCAGACTCATCCCTTCATATCACACGATCGGCATTAACATGCTGTATGCTTGAGCAAACAGCTCTCTGCGCCTGGTCGGCTCTGCTCTCTCTGCAACCTCTGTCTGTCTGATAAGGCTTGGATGTTTACATAACCGTCATTTTTCATTTACTGATAGAACGAGCATGGCATGTATACATGCATGCGAGTCAATACAAATAGAACAATGCTTTAATACTTTGTCATTGTGCTTGCTCACCCCCTCCTGATGTTCATGTTGTATAGAACCAACTATCAATGATAACCTGCTCTGACTTTTGCTCACACTCCAATCAGCAACAATGCTGAGATAAAATCGAAAAGCTGTCACACCATGTAATGGAAATGTATAGGGCTCATTCAGAAGATGGAGGCAGGATTTTCCTTCTGTCAGCCCAAGCCAGCATCTCTGTGGCTCCTCTCAGACAAGGATGAGATTTCCCTTCTTAAACTGTCAGTGAGAACAGCAGCATGCTAGACTGACAAAGACCATTTGTCCCGTGGGTAAAGTGTTTTTAAAGGTTTAACATATGCCTTTGTCATTCAAATGATTAGTTATTTTGTATAATTTACTTTTCTGTTATTATACACTATTAATTTAATTATCAACTTGTTGATATCAAATGGAGGCAGAATGACATGGAGGGAGATTAATGATCTTCATGGAGATGAGCAGGTGGCTGACTCCACATTAACAAGTCAGGTCTGTTCACAGAAAGAGTGTAAGCTTTTGGTATTTTAGTTTATTTAAATGAATGTTTATTTATACCTCTTCTTGCCTGCACAGTATTGCATTGATTATTACAGCATCATATTTTTGAGCATGGAGAAACCATAATGCCATTAAACAAATCACTTATGTTACGTTCATTGATTTACAGCATTTTCCGGATTGAGGCTCATGTTTTATTAACTCAAAGAAATAGGTTTGTAATTATAATATGTAAAATGAATCACGCACACAGTCTTTATGGTCAGTGTCAACCTTTCATCTATCCTGAGAATTAAAGAGATTGCTTATACCTTGTCTTGGTTGGTTCACACAGTAACTTTGCAAATATGTGTTATTATCTAAGATTTACAGTCTATGGTTATTACGTAATGCACGATTATTCCCTCATAAGTAAAGAAGATGTGTAAAACCATACAGCGGCTCTGGAAGCATCCACTTGAACATGAATGAAGGGGTGTGTGGAATGCTGGCTGCTGATTGGCTGAACCAGGGTCCACTCACTGCTGCAGCATCACGTGTGGCACATACAGACACTATCTCTCCAACTGCTGAGGGGAAGCAAGCGACATTGTGGGGGGCTGCTGAGGCCAAGCTCTGAGAGGCGGAAGCAAGTTTAGAAATATGAGAAATGTGAGCACGTTATGGTCAGTGTTTAGAAATATTATGGGGAATATTTGATGTGCTGAAAATGCTGTATGAATAATTATTGGCAACTTTTCAGGACACCCCTGAAAAATAGATTCTGAAATCTTAGTGGGGCTTTCCTTGTTTATCAAACATCAGTAATTCACACTCTTGTAAGCAGTCAGCACAGAATCATGACTGGGCTTTCCACAATTTATTCTACTTCCAATTATGTAACAATTGTTTGCTTTTGAGGGCGACAGTGCCCTGACAGTCATGGGTTTGATCCCCCCACGAGACCTTTTCCACATTTTCTCATTGATGTCTGCTGTTGTTGTGTCCTTGGGCAAGACACTTAACCCCACTTTGCCTGAAGCCCCAGCGGAAAGATCAAGGCCGCTTAGGACTCACCACCTGCTTGAGGATCAGTGAGGGGCTGGCGCTCTGTGAATTGGGTGCAGCTCTGATTGCCCCCCCAACCCATAAATGGATTAAGGGGAATTGGAAAATGGATGGATGGATGTTTGTGCTTTTATCACATTCTCATCATTTGTTTACACATTTTTATTGTCCCAGACAGTTTGAAAGTTAGAACCCTCCTCTTTCCACTTGCGGTTTGCTCTCTCCCTGGGGATCACATGCAATCTTCCAGCTCTTGACAGGAGCTCTGCAAATAGCACAAAGTTCCCACGAACATATTTGGTTTCCTCATTTGAAATCAGCTTTGTCATTGTCAACGTTTCAGGACTCGGAGTGATGAGTGAGTAGGTCCCTGCTGTTATCATACGGGGCAGTCCATTTACCATAACGTTTCCTTCAATATGATAAATGTCATTCAATCCAACTCAAGTTCTTTTTGTATAGCCCTAAATCCCCAAAACAGTCGTCTCAGGTGTCTTTATGCAGTTGTCGATTCTCAAACCCAGATCAGGAAATCAAACAGTTGGAATACAGGAAATGTAATAATAACAAACACATAGGAGCCATTGGTCTACAGTGGGTGGGATAACCAATGTCCATAAATGTTAATTAATGTCCATAAATGTCCTTAAAATGATATTTAAATATTAAAATGAAGAACAATTACTTAAAGTGATATTTCAAATGTTGCTTTTACCATTTAAAACAAAGGTAGGGAGTCAATCATTTTTACACGTGCCAAAATAAGGATGGGGTTATAACTGATGTGACCAGAATTTTCTCTGAACTGAAATAAAACCCAGCAGTTATGAACGCAAAGTTCTGGATGAGAAATATGCTTTGATAATTGTTCACATTATGCAACCAAGGAGGGCTGGGTTCCATTGAGATTCTACTTTCAACTCTGTGCTGCTTTTGACCATGTGCAATGAAACTATGAAAGTAACACAACCATTATAGAGCTCCTGCAGCTTACAGTAAAGCCGTAAAGCTGTATATCCAGTACATTTATACACCAACGTCTCAATTTGATCTTTGTGTGTTGTAAATATTATCCTATACTTGTGCTCTTTCACTACTGGTTAGACTCTAAACTGCATTTCGTTGCATTGTTCTGACTTTGTAATGACAAAGTATCTAATTTAATCTTTGCATTGTTTGTCTTTTGCCAGAACCATGAGCGGGAGACTGCGCTCCACTGTGCAGCCCAGTACGGACACTCAGAGGTGGTGTCAGTGCTGCTTCAGGAGCTCACGGACCCCACCATGAGGAACAGTCGACAGGAGACCCCCCTGGACCTGGCGGCGCTCTATGGGAGACTACAGGTGAAAGCAACTGCTACAAGTTCATGTTGTTTCTTTCTTTTTCTTCTTTTTATAGTGGTTGTCCATGTTGTATGTAGCAGTACTGTATCAAAAGCTGATCCCAGTGAAATTAGGAATGGGAATCTTTTAGAGTTTGCCAATACAATAATCTCCTAAATACAAGGTCACAATACAATAAATTGGCAATTATTATACAGGGAAATTTGATACATATTTTGTCGTTAAGTGATTCGATACAATTCAGTAAAAAATAAAGGCTTTCGGCTTCTTAATTGTGCGTCTAATAAAATTTATAATATTACTGGTGCATTTCATTTATTGAAAACTCGTCTCAGCCTTATGCTTCTGTTTGTGGGTCTCTATTTCAAAATATTACTAATTACTACAACATTACAGAATAAAACATTGAGATTGTATCTGTTGTTCAATCTCTTGTTCTTGTTCTCCCCGACTGTCTGTGTTTTCTGTATTTTATTATTGTATGACTTTTATCTTTAGGGAGACTATGTACACCTGTCCAGGAACTGCAGATGAAAAATAGCCTGCTTGGCTAATTCTGGTGCATTTACAGAAATGTTTTATACATGCACAATGTCCCTGTCAACTAAACTAATAAAATAAAGATTAATAAATAAAGTATCTCATTAGAAAATATCAATGCTTATTTTTCCTTTTTTTGCACACTCCTAGTGGCATAGTCAATGATTTGCACATTTTCTATTAATGCAGGTTTAAACTTATACAAACTGTTCTCATTCCATTGCCAGACTCTGTAGCAAGAAAAAGTGAAATTAAAGTTATCTGTTATCATTTAAAGAATTATCTATGCATGTCAGTGATTGTGCCTGTACTTTCAAAGAATATAGTTATGTTATTTACAATTCCAATGTTTTATAGATGGGCTGGTATCTTCATATTATCACTATAACCAAATGCTCCAAGAAAATTGAGATATTATTTGTTGTCATATTTCTACTCCACAGTGTGACATTATGAATAATGAATCATCATGAAGTGGTTTTCACAGTCAAAGCTTTCATTCACACATTTATGCACTACAAACCAAAATGATATTCAGTACTTCTCCTCCACTTAACTTTCTTTGAAATAATTCAGGGGTGTGATCTCATGGTTGGTCTCTACTATGGTTGGTCTCTAATAATATAATGCATGATTATAGCAATTGCATTTTCCCACAGCACTATATCCAGCAAAGAGGAGCACACATAGAACGCTAGAGAACGTTTGACTTTGAATATTGACACTTAGACTGTTTCGATTCAGTTAAAAATAGGTTTATAAATGTTCCCCAAATTATATATTGTAGAGAGGGGTAGAGAGATAGTTTATATGATTGAAAAATTATGGTTTTGGCACAAAATAATCTAAATTGGCCATTCAGCTTTTCTCTATGTTTTGCTTTTAATGTGATATATATTTAACACACACTGGTGGACTTTAAAACAGAGACTGGTTGGCAGGTTTACACAACCATCTGGTGTCTCCGTCTGCTCTGTGACCGGGACAACAGTGGGAGTTAGCTAAGACAAGACCGCAGAGCAAAAGCATGACAGTCCATGCAGGAGGGGCTAATTTTTTACATGTCATAGAGTTTCCCCTTGATGAACACAAACATTCCCTTTTAGGTTATCCGAAGAGATAAACAAACGCTTCATAGTTTTCACAATAGCCACACACACATAGGCGGAGAGTAATTGCATTCAAGCTCTACAGGTTTGTCTGAAAGTGAATGAATAATTTATACTGGCAGCAGCGTGGTACGGCTCCCTCTCTTGCTCTGCATATGAATGAGGGGGAAATCCCTATAGCGAGAGATACAGCTGTGCGGAGATGCAGCACAAGAAATGGGGGAACGTTTTCACAAATACTATGACGCAAGTTTACACAAAGACTCATAATAAAAGGAATCTACCGCTGAGAAGACTTATTAAACAGCTACTCAAAAGCTGGATCTACCTACACTGGACCTCCCACCGTCGGGGTGATTGGCAGTATTTTTAACTCAACAGCTCACAGAGGAAATCATCTCTTAAAGTGTGAATGAAAAACATGTAGTCAATGACCCTTATGACAGGTTAAAAGTCAGGGGCAGGTTTCAGGTATAACTGCTGTTTATGAGTAGAAGTTTAGATATACAGTATGTAATTAAATCTTATCGTCGCTCATGATAACTCAAACTTTATTTTGATTTAGTTGAATCTGTACCTAAGTTTGAAACCATAACAAATATTATCTAAACTGGAAAGTTTTTACAGGGAAAACCAAAGCACCCAGCATAAGCCAATGCAGACACACGGAGAACATGCAATTCCACACAGAAAGGCCCTGTGGGGAGGTGGAATCGAACCCAGGACTTTCTTGCTAACCGTTACTATTCGCTCTAATGCTAGTTCTGTGTTAGCTCAAACCATTCTAAAACAATTCTATGAAGATAAACCTTTATGTATTTTCTACAATTTTTAATGTTAATTCATGGTCATTTGTATTATAGTAGGGCTGCGTGATTAACAGCATTTTTTTATTTTGTTTACAAAAAGCCAATACAAATGGTTATCATTAAAATATTGGTAGATAGATATTTCTTCATAATCTTGCAGCTCTATATTGTAGTAATTTACTAACTGGTCACTAATTCTCAAATCATGCTTTAAAGATGATTGTTTGTGTAATTGCATCTGGGGCAGGATCAGAACAGAACTTCTGATACTGCCCTATTGAGTGACATCATTGCTACAAAATGTGTATATACATTTTGTTCATGTATGTATGAACACAGTTTTCTTAGTCTAAGGCAGGTTTTCTATCCCGATCTATGCTTTTAAAGAAGAATCGTAACCCTCAAACAAACTGTCAGCAGTGATTTACAATAGTTACATAATTTACTAAAATAATCTATGTGCTGCACTTTGAAAACTGAAATGTTGTATTGTTTGTATACATAAAGTGGATCAGATCTTTGTATTGACTCTATGGTGGATTGACAGGTGGTGCGGATGCTGGTGAACGCCCATCCCAACCTGATGAGCAACCACACGCGCCGCCACACCCCCCTGCACTTGGCGGCTCGTAATGGACACTACAGCACGGTGCAGACGCTGCTCGACGCTGGCATGGACGTCAACTGCGCGGTGAGAGGAAGCTCCACTTTGATTGCCCTCTGTTGGGGAATAAAGAGAGATTTACGACCGTGCCACGCAGACGGAGCATCCTCGGGCTTAGAGTTTTCTCTGTCCCCTTACATCAAAACAATATCACAGGACACAAGAGAAGAATAATGCTATATTTCAAAAAGTGTTCGACGAGTAGATAGAAGCTGTGGTATTTGATGATAAACTTTGCCACATTGTCCAAAATGCACTGATGCTGAGATTTGTGCCAGGATGAGTCGGGGTAATGCATTCTCTTTTGAAAATATCATATTCTCTAGACATAAAGTTCCCCAAAGATTACAAAACATCATCCATAAGTCAGCACGCAAAGTTTAAATATTGTTTGGATTTCTTTTACCTGCTGAATTGGGAATTTTGGCTTTTATTGTGAGAACTGTGGCGCCACCTGCATGTGAAAGCCAGCTCCTGTCATACCTCTGAAGCTAAGCAGGGCAGGGTCTGGTTGTGATGGGAGACCTCTGGAAACAGCAGGTGCCACAGTGGGAGGAGTCCAATAATTGTGGACCGTTGATCGATTTGTGTTGCCCTGTGTAGGAAAGGCACTCTACAAACATTGATTGATTGATTGATTGGGTGTAAAGTCCCAGGGCTCAGCTAATAGGAATCAGGCTAGAGGGGAGGGCACGGGGCTATCTCCTCGGGGAAGGTGAATACAGAGTAACATAAGTTCAACTTCCTGAAACAATATGGTTATTTTCTGAGAATGTTTGTTAGCATATACAGTATTGTGTTGGGCCAAGTGTAACAAAAGTCATCACGCTCATAATAACCACCAAACAACCACTGTTGGTTCGAGAACTACTGCATAGAAAAATCTTTGTTGTTGATTTCTTTGAGTAGAAAAGGGCAATGACAGCCCCTATTCCTTTTCATCTTAGAACAGAAAATGTGGATATTTTAAAAGATTTTTCATTTAAAATGGAAGGAAATGGAGAGGTTTGATTTGATTGTTTTATGTACGAAGATTAAGTTTAAATGACCTGGGTGTTCCTAAATCCAAAATCCACTCTTTTTGAACAATGATCAAATATTTGTCTCACATTGTGTTTAGCTGTCTCCACACTCTTTTGTTTGTGTTTTTTTGTCTCTTTTTGGACAGAAAATTTATAGCAACAGAGGTATTTCCAGGCGGTTTGTTTCTGAAAGTCTTGTTAGAAATGGCCATGGTCTGCTGCTTTTGTTTCTTTCCTCCAGAGACGGTGGTGTGCTATTTGACAGAAAGAGAAAAATCACAAGACAATGCTAACTAGTTTGATACACATTACCTTTTATTTGACCAATTATGTTGTTCTGTCATTACTTACTAACACTGATATAAATGCATTGTTTCTTAATGAACTACTTCTCCTGGTGGTTCAGATAATAATTTTGGGTTGTGTTGTGTATATTTATTTTGTATGGAGTCTGTGGTTTGAATTCCACATAAACACAATTAATAAGTAACTCTATCCCAGGGCTTGGGTGCTTTTACTACAGCACCTAAGACGGCATGTGCCATTTCTCTGAGTCTACAATTTACTAAATTTACTAACGACACAATCTTCGCATAGAGCAATCCTGTCAATCATAATGTATTAATATTTTGATGTATTGAACAAAGATCCATTTTAAACAAATCTCAGCTGCTCTCTCTGGATCTGGCTGACAGTACAGGAAGTGCTTCTCTTGCCCTCAAGCAGCAGAGAGTGACCACTCTAAGCTGCTGGAGTTGCAACTTATAATGGGAATTGTGGCCACTGATGCAGTATGTTAACGGCATACATGCTCTACTCTCTGTGCCGTCAGTAAGTGAAGTAAACAGTGAGGTCCAGCGGCTCTCAGATGGAAGCGTGACAAATACTTATGAGTGGAGAGCGGGTGAGGAAGAGTAAGGAAGAGTGAGTGGGTGAGGGAGCAGGTCAGTAATTGGAGTCAAGCTGTAATGCTCTGTCTGAATGTGAATGAATAATTCATCCATGTCCGTCACCTTGTTTACTCCTTTGACTGCCTCTCTAATGATGAGGAGAAAGCACAGCAGCAACAAGCCACCACAAGGCCAAGTCTTTTGTAAACACAAAAACATACTGATCTCTTTGCTATGTGTTCTATTCAAAAACAGAAAGTCAACCCTCATTCAATTCCCGGAGACGCTTGCAATGATGATCAACTTCCTTCTTACCTTATGACATCATTGTATAATCGCCACCGGAAACAAGACAGGAAGGGAGCAAGACTGGTGTGAGAAACTGGATAGTCTTAAACCAGTGCAAAGTATATATGTGCTTTACTAAGAGAGCCAATCTTTACTATTGAGAGTTGCTCTATGCAGCTCTAACCTTGAACACATATTCTGTCCTGTCATTTCTGCAAAAGCACCCCTGCATTGTAAGTTTGATATTTTTGTATTTGTCTAATGGTTTATAATGGTTTGATGCTGTTGGTGTTTTCTCTGTGGCTTGTTCGTTAGAAAACATGGTCTAATGTGTTTTGGTTAGTTTTATATGTCGTGTCTGGAAGTACCATAGGAAGGTTACAACTTGTGCCTGTGTCCTTGTTATTAGCAGAAGTCATGTTCAGGGTAATGTATTCTGAGCTAACACCTGCATTTACATTTCTCACAGCATAAAGGCCACTCTTTCATTAGAGGCAATAATTCTGTTTTGATATGGTTTTTCTGCTTCCTGTTTCTTGCATTTAAAATGTTTTATTAATACATGTTTATTATTATAACATTTTCATGTTTTGAAATGTCAGCTATATCATGGTAGGACCGCCACTGGCTTTGTTTGGATGTTGGTGTTGAAATCCCATTATTTTTGTCTCTCTGTTGATATTTTAGTGCAAGAAAATTAGGTATAGTGTTTTGAGTCTTCGTTAACAGCAACAGCCACAACAGGAGATTCAAGATGATGTACCTAACAGCCCTCTCCTATAGTTTCCGTATGTTGCATCATCTCAGATTTCCCTATTAGAAAGATTGGCGGCTGGAACAGTGCAGTGGACAGAATGAGGGGTTTTATCTGGCTTGTGTGCAACAACTGTAATATCTGAGCGCTCTAACAAGCTGATTAATTTAAAATATGTTTAATACACATTCCTTTCTTTTCATTGCTATTACCAATGCCATTGTAACACAGTATCTCTGTGTTCTGCAGACAGAGAACGGGAGTGCCCTCCACGAGGCGGCTCTCTTTGGGAAGATGGATGTAGTTCGGCTTCTGCTTGACTCAGGTTGGTACAAAAGTCTTCTGTGGCCAGTACCACAATATCAATCAAAGATTTCAGCCACCATCAATGTCTTCTTTGTATGTAAAGCATTTACTCAATTGATTGTTAGTTTTCTGTGGCAATCATCACATATACTGTATCCTTGATGCAGCTGCAGGTTCCTTCCCTTAGTTCCTGTTTCCTGCAGAGCCTCCCTGAGGTGACGGCTCGTCTTACGCCTACATCCTGGATGAACTCTGTGCTTCCTCATCCTCAGCCCTGAATTTTGACACAGCACATTGCAAACTTCTGCACAATATGAAAATGTTGTTGTGGCAGATTTGGAAGTAGACTCCAATCTGACTTGATACTGATGTTGAAGTCCTCTCCAGGAAATGGCTTTATATTGAGATGCCATAAACCTAGATTATATATATTATGTATCAATATAAATATATATTTATACATTTCTTATTTTGTGTTTATGTATAAATGTCTACCACAAGAGACCATGTAATGTTAAACCTACAGTAAATGTACATCAGGAATGCGATTTGTGTTGTAGGCATAGACACCTATTTGAGAGACTGTCGTGGGAGGACCGCTCTCGAGCTGCTCCGAGACCAGCCAGCCGCTAAGTCCCAACAGATCACTGCTCTAATACAAGGTAACACAACTTGTCTTTGAACGGACACAGGGATAACCTGCTTTTTGCTGCTGTGATATTATCATTTATCAAAAAGAGGCTGGCATTAAAACATTTTCCTTATCAAATAAAATACTGTCATCGGAAGTGATTAGAAAACTACGTCTGAAAGCGCGTCAACACGTCTCTATGATAAATATGTGGTTCAAATCACGACTTCTGCAATAACATTATAGTAAATTAATTAGATATGTCATGCATGGGGATCGTTCCGTCTCACCAATCTTCCTACCACCCGTTTTCTATTGTCTGCGGGACTCATTAAACTGAATATTAATACGAAAGACACAGCCCACTCTAGATACCTTTCATACTTTTTGGAGCAGTCAACATTTCCCCCGTGTTTATCTCCACTCCCTGCCTTTAGTGAATGCTCTTATCTTACCCTCATTACAGTGTGTTTTGTGTGTGACCACCGCTCCCTCAAACCCACTAATTATCCCGATTACTCCTCTTAGAACCGAGTTGTCATTGCGTGATTACAAGGCATACAATACATGCTGTAATCTGTGGTCGAATGGATGTGTCCCCATTACAAAACACATAGTTAGCAGCGGTTTAAAAAGCAGGTGACTGTCAAAAGAAAGCTGTTTACGCGTATGGATTGAAGACTAAATGTTATATTGGGCAGAAATGCGAGGAAGAAGCAGGGAATGCAACAAATTGGCCACATTGTGAAAATAACTTGTGTGTGGCTCGGCTTCACCTCTAGAAAATAGCAATGGGAATGTGGTAATTGGAGATTGAACTGGAGTTTCCCACTGTTCACGTTCGCAAACATCGCAGTTATATTACGGTTTAGAATAGAATTATTTTTCTTAGGCTGGAAATGCGTGCTTGGAATAATCATTTTGCATCATTGTTATTTATAATTGTAAATCATTTAGTAACGCACTTTGAAAAGGGGTTTGTTGAAGTTGTTTCATTTGGTTCCAATCCCTCTCTCACACAACACAAAGCATACACACACACGCGCGCACACACAAGCGCACGCACACAAGCGCACGCACACAAGCGCACGCACACACACACGCACACACCCTTAAGTGTCAACTTCAGGTGGTTTATCCCAAGATATATCAATACATAAAGGAGACTACCTTTAACCAGCCACACGTACCATCTACAAACTTTAGCAGGATGCATGCGGCTGATGTTGAGTTTCATGTTTTATTCTAAAGTGGCATTACTATATCAATATATTCTGGACTATTTCGCAATACTGTGTTGATCCTAAGAACATATTTCTGCTAAACATATTTAAATAATGTTCAGATTTTCAAAACAAACTACACAAGGCCCAAACACTCTCTGACACCATCTGTCTTTCCTCCACATACTTCTTTATTACTTTTTGTTGTTGTCATTGATTGTTGAATATAATCATAATCCAACATGTTTTATATCTGGTTGTTCCAAAGAGAAACTCCTCAAGCTGCAGTTGTTCGAAGAAGACGCATACATGAAAATACGGGTGAAATATTTATGGGAATGATAAACTTTGAGAATGCATCGTGTTCTACTGTAGATGAACTGTTTAACTCTGTCACCTCTAGTGTTTTGAAAGTTCTGGACACCATCGCTCCTGTGAAGGTTAAAATAGTGAAAAATAAGCAGAAGGCGCCGTGGGCTAAAGCAGACTCGGTCAGGGCACAAAAGAGAGAGTGCCGGAGGGCCGAGCGGAAGTGGCGCAAGTCCAACCTCCAGGTTGATTACGAGATCTTCAAAGACAAGTTGTGCGAGTTTAACCGGGTCCTACGTAGTACGAGAGAAAGGTATTTTTCTGAAATGATTGAAGGCTGCAATAACAATCTGCATGTTCTGTTTTCAACAGTTAATAGTAATAATAAATAATTTTCAATGACAAAGTTCAATGCATCATTGTCTCCAATCCACAGATAACAATCCAACAGCCAGAAAGGCTCTCTGAGCTAACTCACTTTGCACCTGTAAATGATCAAACTGTCCAAGAGATAATCACAAGTCTGAGCTCCTCCACATGCAGCCTGGATGTACTACCCACTAGATTTCTGAAGTCTGTTCTGAGCAGTCTGTTACCTTCACTCACACAGATTCAGATTCAGTTTATTTGCCATTTGCAGGAAAAAAACCACATTGGAATACATTAGCAAAAGTCACCAGTGTGCACAGACAAATACAGACATAAAACAACATTAAAAGACAAAAATAAAACAAATAAAACAGTAAACAAATGTCACTGTGAAATTGATCGACTAAAACAGTTTCAAAACAAGTGCAAATCATTAAAGTGCTCTGTTCACACTGATAACAGCCTGTGGATAAAAACTGTTAGCGTAACGAGATGTCCTGCATCTCAGAGAGCGATATCTTCTGCCAGAGGGAAGAAGCTGGAATATGGCTTTCCCAGGGTGGCCAGAAGAGTCATTGACAATCCTAAGAGCTTTGTTTAAAAGTCTGGATTTATAAAGAACCTCCAGAACAGGAAGCTCACAGCCCACGGTCGTCTTTGCAGAGCGGAGCACCTTGTTTAAAGCTCTCTTTTCTTTATCAGTGATGTTTCCAAACCACACAGACACAGAACCAACAAGTAAACTCTCAATGGTGCAGCGATAAAAGTTAAGCAGAATCTTAAGGCAAGGCAAGGCAAGTTTATTTGTATAGCACAATTCATACACAAGGCAACTCAAAGTGCTGAACAAGATGCATTAAAATCATAAATAATTACAGAACATTAAAACGAAAGATAAAAATATAAAATCCCTCAGTTGTATGCACAGCTAAACAGCACCGTTTTTAACCTGGTTTTAAACATTGTCAGAGAGGAGGCCTGTCTCACATCTTCAGGAAGAATGTTCCAGATTTTAGCAGCATGAATCTGAAAAGCAGCCTCCCCATGTTTAGTTCTGACTCTGGGCACTAACAGGAGTCCAGTCCCTGTGCTCCTCAGAGTCCGGGCTGGTTCATATGGGACTAACATGTCACTAATATATTTTGGTGCGAGGCCATGGAGAGACTTGTACACAAGCAGAGCTGTTTTAAAGTCTATTCTCTGAGCCACAGGAAGCCAGTGCAGGGACCTGAGAACTGGACTAATGTGGTCGTACTTCCTGGTTCTAGTCAGGACTCGAGCTGCTGCATTTTGAATGTACTGCAGCTGTTTTACAGCCTGTTTGGACAGACCTGTGAGCAGGCCATTGCAGTAGTCTAACCTACTGGAGACAAATGCATGGATAAGAATCTCCAGGTCTGCTTTAGACACTATGTTTTTGATCCTGGCAATGTTTTTTAGATGATAAAAAGCTGCTGATGTTACTGATTTGATGTGGCTATTAAAATTTAAGTCTGAGTCCAGTATTACCCCTAGATTTCTGACCTTGTTTGAAGGTTTTAGGGAGAGAGACTGTAGATGACAGATGACGCTCTCTTTGTTTCTGGGGACCAAAGACAATCATTTCAGTTTTGTCTGCGTTTAGCTGAAGGAAGTTGTTTTGCATCCACTCACTGATCTGTTGGATACAGTGAAGGAGTGAGTCCACTGGTCCATGTTCTCCTGCAGTCAGTGAGACATAGATCTGAGTGTCGTCTGCATAGTTATGATAGCAAACTTCGTTTCTGCGTATTAACTGACCTAACGGCAGCATGTAGAGATTGAACAGAAGAGGTCCCAGGATCGACCCCTGTGGTACTCCACAGGTCAGGGCCATATGATCTGAGACACATTTTCCAATCTCCACAAAGTACTTCCTGTCTTCAAGGTAAGACCTAAACCAACTTAGGGCGGAGCCAGCGACGCCAACCCAGTCCTCTAGTCTCTGTAAGAGGATCTCATGGTCGACAGTGTCAAAGGCAGCACTTAGATCTAACAGGATTAGGATTGAGACTTTGCCTGCGTCAGTGTTCAGCCGGATATGATTTGTAACCTTGACGAGAGCAGTCTCAGTGCTGTGGTGGGGTCTAAAGCCGGACTGAAACATATCAAATGAGTTGTTGACTATAAGAAATCTAGTAAGCTGTAGGTAGACAACTTTTTCAAGGACTTTCCCCATAAATGGCAGATTTGAGATGGGACGATAGTTGTTAAGTACCGTAGCATCCAGACTGCTCTTTTTTAGCAGGGGCCTGATGACTGCAGTTTTCAGGGCCTTTGGGAATATTCCAGAATCAAGGGACATGTTTACTATCTGTGTGAGTGAAGGTAACAGACTGCTCAGAACAGACTTTAGAAATATAGTGGGTAGTACATCCGGGCTGCATGTGGAGGAGCTCAAACTGGAGATTATCTCTTGGACAGTTTGATCATTTACAGGTGCAAAGTAAGTTAGCTCAAAGAGCCTTTCTGGCTGTTGGATTGTTATCTGTGGATTGGAGACAATGGCGTTTTTGATGCCTTGAACCTTGTCATTGAAAAAATTTGCAAACTCATTACATTTACGTTTGGAAGTTAGCTCTAATGGCATTTGAACAGGGGGGTTTGTTAATCTATTAACTGTTGAAAACAGAACACGCAGATTGTTGCTGCAGCCTTCAATCCTTTCAGAAAAATACCTTTCTCTCGTACTACGTAGCACCTGGTTAAACTCGCACAACTTATCTTTGAAGATCTTGTAATCAACCTGGAGGTTGGACTTGCGCCACTTCCGCTCGGCCCTCCGGCACTCTCTCTTTTGTGCCCTGACCGAGTCTGCTTTAGCCCACGGCGCCTTCTGCTTATTTTTCACTATTTTAACCTTCACAGGAGCGATGGTGTCCAGAACTTTCAAAACACTAGAGGTGACAGAGTTAAACAGTTCATCTACAGTAGAATACGATGCATTCTCAAAGTTTATCATTCCCATAAATAGTTCACCCGTATTTTCATTTATGTGTCTTCTTCGTACAGTTGCAGAGTCCACTGGTGGTTTGTTAGTGAAACACATGTCAAAAAATATACAAAAATGATCCGAAAGCGCAACATCGACCACGTTTACATTATGAATGTT